ATATATATATATATATATATATATATATATATATATATATATTTATAATAAAGATAAAGCGTTTTGAAGAAAGAGAGAAAGTCATCTTACATCGCTAGCAAACGCCTAAGTAGTTTGTGTCTCAATGAGAACTGAGTAGTTTGTGATCGAATGAGAAAAGAGACCGGACAGAGACAGAACAGAAAATTAAGGTTCAATCAATTTTCAATTTAGCTACAACAGGCGTATACTATTAATTGTAATTTATTGCACGACTTCGTTACTCTTCACAATGAAACTCGAAGATTACGAGTTTCACGTAGATGAAATCTAATCCGACAGGAAGCGACATTCCTATTTTCATTAATGCGTAACCTAAGAACTGTTCGCACAAAATATTTAGATTAAAAAAAATTTAGATTAGTAGAATATTATACATATAATAAAGTGACATATATATATATATATATATATATATATATATATATATATATATATAATAGGCCGTCATCGTGCCTCTTTCATTTACATTCGGATTAACGAACGTTTAGCAGCTATTGCTTCAACCAAATGCGCGCGTGTGTGTGTATGCGTGGCATTCGCGCCGAAATTCGTCGCTTTGAAGTTGCATTAAGAATACACAGGCGGAAATTTGAACGAGATGATATCCGATCGGGACGTTTCCTATCACATATCAATACCTGTTAGCGATATAGCCTTTGACTTTTGCCGTTACAGCGAATATTGCCTCTGCCAAAATTGCTGCTCCGACCGGCCGGCGTGAGGAGATCGAAATTAACTCGGACTATGTTTGCGGCGCATACGCGCGCCGGTCACGTACCGGATATTAATTCGCGCCATGTTGCTATCAATTTCTCCCTGATGTTTGTCAATTATCAAATTTCTCTCCCACAGAAGCGCGCCGGCTCGAGTGGCGCCTGTGAAAATATTTGGTGAATTGATTAACTCATTTCGACCTCGGACCATTTCGACCTGTTACGAATGCTTTATTTTCGTTAACGCGTAATTAATGTCACGCGATAGAATTATTTGATATCATTTTCATCTGATATTACTTCCATAAATAAAGAATAACTGTCCTTACTGTTCTTAAAAGATCGATAAGTTGACCGTTTACCTTATTCGAAAGACGGAAGTTATCTCACGGGGTGACTGGTATTCAAATTTCTGATACAACACGTTCTATCATTTTAGTATTCAGTTTCAAGGCGTTTTAGAAATACTGCGAAGGTCACATATTCACACATATACATCACGATCACCGTGATTCGACTGCTTAAATACAACTCGATGAAATTGCGAGATGAAGTATATAGCTCGAGGGTATTTTGTCACTTACCCGAACGTCCACCAAATATTGAAGCACATCACGTTCAGCCAGAAGAAGGTTGCCTGGAACGAGAGGTAAATGACGAAGGCTGAAACAGGCAAATAAATAGCGTCTCAAAATCAAGCTACATTATACAAGTGCAAGGAAGCCTTGCTGTTATTATTCGACCGTGAAAACTACACTGAATATTCTTCCTCTGTATCGAAAACTCGTGGGAAATGGTCGCGATAAATATATATAAACAAGTGCGTGCTTACATCAAATGAAAAGAAATCTTTCATTAGAGATACATGTATCTTGCAAAGTTTCGATAAGAAAAAGAAGAATCTATGTTGATGCATTTATGTCCAAAGATTTGTCGTTTTCCTATTAAATTCTCCGGCAAAATTTGGATATTAGGAGGAAAATAAGAAAGTCCTCGTTAGATGTCTGAAAGAATACCGAGTCGATGTTACCATTTTACTTGTACCCCTTATTAATTCCTAGAAATTGGATAATTTCGTGTTCTATTTCACTTGACAAACACGACAAACCTTTCGCACCAACCTAACACATTTCTGTACGGCACGCACTCGAAACTGAAATTTTATCTATTACTTATTCCAGTACTATTCTAAATTTCTTGGAGTGAAATCTTATTTCAAATGAATAAAAAGTGGTAGTATTTTCATTCAAAACGATAATGAAAATATTGCCATTCGAAATAGCAAGATTGAGTGTTCTATTCGAACTTTAAGTGGATTGTAACTTCACACGAGCGAGTGTTTCAATCGATTAAAATGAATACCTAAACAAGAAATGTATAAAATTATATATAAATTATGCATAATTATATATAGGATGTTTCCTAAGTACATTAGGATTCATAAATGCCTTTACACTTCCGGTATCTGGAGAATTGAAATTTTTTGATCTGGCGCATCTTTTCTCAGTAATCGTGAATCGTGATTGTTAGTTACTGAAAGAACCAATGACTAGCAGTCATGCTTCATGCTTACTGAAAAACGATGCGCCAGATCGAAAAAGTTCAATTCTCCAGATACCGAAAGTATAAAAGTATTAATGTATTCTAGTGTACACGTCAAAAATACAGATGATTCTTCTCATCAAAATTAAAAAAAAAAACATTCTTATAAACATATGTCCTAAAATGTTTTGTTTTTAAGATATATCCAGTAAACATGATAATGTCAAATAACATTTTAGTGACGCATTACTGTCATTTCTAACATCAATAATACGTTATTGATACGTTATTTGACGTCCTGCTACTTGAATATTACTCGAAAGGAGTAACTGAACAGTAAACTTATTTTTTTACGAATAAAAGGACAACGTTGAAACACAAAAATTCAAATTTTCTTATTTTTTATATAAGTAAAGAAAAGTAATATTTTATTTATTCAATTTTATTCTGTCAAAGATGAAACACATTTTCTTCGATAATGGTGTGTGTTAGCGAATTTTGAGAAAAATATCTTTTTTGTGTACAAATGTCTGAGGATTCTGAAAATAAGGCCGTATACGCTCTATCTGTGAGAATTAAAAAAAGGTATGCAAAATAAGAGTAACCACCCCTAATTTTCAACCTTTATTTTCTGGAGATCATCTTAAAGTATGATCCACTATTAATTCCAGACGTTAAAAAAAACAAAATTAAACATTTTTACGTTTGACCGTTGTCTTTTTATCTGCAAAAAAGTCTTTCTCAACCAACTTTTCCGAGATGTGTATCAGCCAACTCTTCCGGGAAGTGTATCTCAGAAATGAAACATTTCAGAACATATGAATCTTTTTTCTTACCTTAATGTAAAGAATCACCTCCTGCATTTTCTGTATGTACTTGGAAAACACCTTGTATGTCCCATGTACAAATTTTGTCTCTGTATGGTTATATATTAATCATGAAAGCTCCTTTACTTTCGTGGAATGTTTTCTTTCTTTCAAGCTTACAGAAAATTCTAACTATATACAAGAAAATGTTTCAATCGATCAGAATGAATACATCTCTGTGACGGTGAAATAACATTAGACTCACTCTTGAATTTCGAGAAAATACTCGACTCTACTCAACTCCACGCGACAATTCAGGATGGAGAATTCACTCCATTTCAGTGAAAAACTCGTATCAGAGTGATTCTGCGCTCATTCTGCTTTTCAAATAAAATCCTACTCCAAGAAATTTAAAGAATGCTATTCTAAAACCCTAATTATTAGGTGTACATCTTTGCTTCCACCGTTTTCCTATAGATGGCTTTAGCGGTAAGTGGTGGTCGAAATAAATAGATCATAGACGTCATACAATAAACTTGGGCATCTATCAACATAACCCCATAGAAACATTAGTCGATTTGTGTCTGCATCATAAATTTATTCTCGATTGAAAATGTCAGTTCACGAAGCAAATTCTCGTCATTTGAGGGAAGTTTTAATTTTCTGCTTCAATATGAAGAAATCTGCGGCTGAGGCTTATCGAATGCTCTCAAATACTTATGGTGAGGCCGCTATTAGTGAAAGAACGTGTCGTGAGTGGTTTCAACGCTTCAAGAACGGTGATTTTGACATCAAAGACCGGCATAGCGGTGGAAGAGAGAAGGTTTTCGAAGATGCAGAATCGGAGACATTACTTGATCAAGGCTCGTGTCAAAATCAAGAAGAATTGGCACGATCATTGGAAATGACTCAACAAGCCATTTCAAAACGCCTCAAAGCCATGGGAATGATTCAGAAGCAAGGAAATTGGGTGCCGTACGAATTGAAGCCGAGAGATGTTGGACGGCGTTTGTTTGCTTGTGAACAGCTACTTGAAAGGCAAAGACGGAAGGGATTTCTGCATCGCATTGTGACTGGGAACGAAAAATGGGTTCATTACGATAATCCCAAGCGCAGAAAATCATGGGGAGTTCCCGGCCATGCTTCCACGTCGACGGCCAAACCGAATATTCATGGCTCCAAGGTGTAGTGTATAACCAGCTCGGCGTAGTGTATTATGAGCTGTGTAAACCGACTGAAACAATCACAGGTGATCGGTATCGAACGCAATTAATGCATTGAAAGACAAACGGCCGCAATACAACGAGAGACACGATAAAGTGATTTTGCAGCATGACAATGCTCGACCCCATGTTACGAAAGTGGTCAAGACATACTTGGAAACGTTGAAATGGGAAGTCCTACCCCACCTATCGTATTCTGCAGACGTTGCTCCCTCTGACTATCACTTGTTTTGATCAATAGCACACGGCCAGACTGACCAGCACTTCCGGTCTTATGAAGAAGTAAAAAATTGGATCGATTCATGGATCGCCTCAAAAGATGACCAGTTTTTTCGACGCGGGATTCGTATGCTGTCCGAAAGATGGGAGAAAGTAGTGGCCAGCGATGGACAATACTTTAAATCATAAATGTATAACCAGTTTTTTACAATAAAGCGTCGAATTTCGGAAAAAAAAACGGCGGAAGCAAAGTTGTACACCTAATAATTCCTCAGTCATCAGAGAGTAATATACGACGAAGCAAGAGCGAAAATACAGTCGAGCACAAAGGATATACACGTCAGTTGTATCGATCGATTATACGGTCTGTTCAAGCTGTACCCGATCCAGTGCAGACTGCATTCGACACATCGTTAGGCAATATCAGCTGGAACGGCACGAGGAATATGTACGCGATGAATAACGAGCTAACGTATCCGCGAAGTATGTAGCCATGCATATTCCAGAGCTCCGGTAGTATGGTGTACACCACGAAGGTCAACAGCAGGAACGGCAAGGACACTATGATACTGATGGGTATACCGATGAAATCCACGCCATCGATGGTCGGACCATTGAAGCACAAGGTCGGTTCGTATTTGCTCTTGTTCATGACGGCGAAGCAATAAATTGCCGGATCGATGAATTTGTTCACTTTCGTTTGGTATAAAGAACCGTTGGTCAGAATTATGTACTCGTCGGTGGGATATAAGGAGGCATCAAGCGCGAAGCGTGGTACACTGGTACATGGATCTGACACGAACAATGGAAAAACCTCGTCCACCTTCTTGCCTATCTCGTGTATCTCCGGAAAATCATATTCATTGTCATCAGGCGTGCATATATTTTCGATCATACGATAGCCGAGTTCACAACAAATTGGTATACAGACTGTGTCATTGCAGATCTTGGAATTTGTTTTGTTCGAATTTCTTCGTGGGCGAAGCTGCGACGTGGTAGAGTTGCCTTCGTTGTTGGTGTCTATGAAATTGTTGCGAAGCTCGACCGGCATATTCTGACTGCCCTTCTTATTGAGATTCTTCATGTAATTGTGGTAAAACTCATGCTGTACCGAGTCCTCGTCATCCCTTGTGGAATTCTCGTCGTGGTTCCACGTGAGGCTGACGTGGTTGACGTGAGGCTCATGGTGCATCGTGTCATCCTGCAGCTTGTCTTCATGAGTGGAATTGCTCTGATTTTCCGCCGCGTAGGCGACCACCAGTAGAAGCGCGTACCACACGATGGGATTTAGCCGACACATCCTCGGTCTTCTACCGCGTACGCGTCAAGGAAGATACTGAATTGAGTTGGCTTCTTTCTACAATAGTCTCCGCGAAATGTCCATTGACCACAGCGATAACGCGAACTAAGAAAACGAGGATGTGTATGAAACTGTCTATGATTTGGCGGCGACCTTCTCGTCTCGAAGAGCATAATCGCTTTCGCAGCAAGCGCGCGAAAGTGCACTAATAAGACACCTCGATAATGCAGGTCTTGGCTCGATCTCTAACAATGTGATAGGGGGAGACATTAATCCCTTTGTGAATCTCATGACCTGATGATGACTATGGTCTGGTTATGACTTTAGGGAATGCATGGTGCAGCGTAGCGAGTATTCGCTTCGGCTGCTTTAATTGTTAAGAGCCTTCAGCGCTCCCGCAGACATGCATTTTCCTTTTATACACATGCAACTGATGGGATGAGTCATTACGCCCGACTGTCGAAGAAATTTCATTCTACCGTCTACTTCAATGTGATCTATTTTAGAGGGAATCCGAAGATAAGATCAATTGAAGTGAAGAGACGATTGATCCGACTAAGCCTGCCGTCGATTTTCGTCGAATTCGCGCAAGTTTCAACCAAAGTGTGGAGCGTTTGAAAAGCCTTATATAAAATGTGTTTTTCATATTAGTATTACTTTCTATGTTAGATGAATGCTAAAGGCACTATATCGAAAGGAATATACGAAAAGGAAGTATTTTGCGCGGAGAGAATTTTATAATAAAAATAGCTATTCAGGATTCTATAACAGAAGAATTTCTAATTTTCTATTAAATAAATAATTTTAATTAAATTTGAGATCAATTTTCTGCAGTAATTATCTTTTCATCTGGGAAAAAGTTCATATATAATTATCTATGAATTTTATCCATATATGTGACCTTATGTATGGATATATCTAATTATATATGTCCATACATACAAAAACACTATTGAATGAAAAAAGGAAAACATAATTTAATTCGATTAAACGTCGATTATAATTAAACGTCGATTATAATATTCTCTCCATATAGTAGAAAGAAAAGCGAAAATGTGCTTCAATTAAATCACACAGATATTAATCGTATGATCGACACTGTATCATACAAGTATTAGTTATATAAAATATGATTAATTATGCGATCTAAACATGCATTCTGCGCATTTTCTACTATTAGAAAATAGAATTATAGTAATGGATTATCAACAAATAATGCAATATATATACTAATATATATATGCAATATATATGTATATTTATTATAGTATAGTGTTATATTTATATATATTAGTATATATATTGCTTTATTTGTTTTATATATAAACAGGTTGCCCCGCCACTACCGCATTATCTTTTAAGGGCGAATTCCTAAGGTAATTTGAATAAAAAAATCCTAGTGCAAAACTGGCGAGGCTATAATACTTTTCAAATTATAAACGATTAAAATTGACCAATTATACTGGCCAAAATATGCGCGCTCAGATGTGGTACAACATAAAATGATACCGGTGCATGCACATGTCGTCCCTTTTACAAATATTGATACGAAAGTTCCATACATATAACAACATATGTAATAATAATCTGACTTTTCTATCAATTAAATAAACGTATCGCAAATAATAACAATTTCGTCAAAATGTTATGAATAAAATATCACACAATACATTTATGAGAATCAAATATTCAAAGCTGAACAAATATTCAAATAAGAAATAAAAAGTGATCTCAGGATATTATGGTAGATGCAATAGTTTTCAATTCATCTTGCACGAGAATATATCAGAATAGAAAGGTCATATTGAACATTTTTCATGATTTTGTGGACAAATTTTTTTTTACACGTTTCTTTTCAATTAAATTAAATTTAATTAGTTCAATTTTGTTTCACACGCGGAATCATTATCTTATTATTTGAATAAAGCTTTATTTCTTTCACTATTCAAATGCATTTTTCTCTAAAACCACTTGCTTTCGAAGATGAGCAAGAATATCTTTTTTAGAAAACATTTGAGAAATAAAAGAAAGTATCTAAAAATAAAAAAAAAATTCTACTAAATTCATAGTTTAGAAATTTAGAGATGGTTTGCTTCTTGACTTTCCGATATAATATCAAAAATATATTAAACCAACTAGTGAATTCTAATTTATAAACACACAAGGTGTCCCAGACTCTTCTCCACAACTTTTGTGAGTTATTACAAAAATAATACCCACAAAAGTTGCAGAGAAGAGCCTAAGACACTTTGTGTATATATATAATTTCCAATAATTTACCCCTTCACTTGGACTACTTACACGTTTAGTATGTCCCGGATTTGGAAGAATAAGAAATCTGAACATTTTATCATATGCAAAAGAAACCGAGATGTTGTTGAAGCAGTTTAGAAATTGATCACTCTAAGCGTGAAGCGATCTCCGCGAGATTTCTAACCACGTTCCATCCTGTGACGCGATCGGTGTGTAATACGGCTGTTTGTAATACGATTATAAATATACTTATATAACAAACTTATATAACAAACTCTGCAACAATACGATCTAGAGAAACGGCAAGAAAAACCGTCACATTTCAGATAACTGAATAGCTCGGTGCATAGAGGGTTAATTGCGCTTAATTGCATTAATTGCGCTGCAGCGACGGTCTCTCGTCGCGTTCTTAGCAATTATCACGATCCTTTTCGCGTTAACGGCGCAGTAAACAATTAGAAGGCAGAAGAAGTCGCACACTGTAGATATACCGATTGCGATGCAGCCATCGTATGAGAGCTAATTCTGCGGCGTCAGTTGCACGTCAGCATGACGTACGCCACCGACAGGCAGCCGACATATTCGCGCAGTGTCAGGCCGTGTATATTCCTCATCTCAGCAGCCAGTAGACGACGAACGTGGAGGAATGGTACCGAGGTGATCATTCCGTACGAGTAGACGATCTCGTTGTCCTCATCGGATATGCCTCTTCGCAGAAAAAGGCCAGATATTACGGGTAATCGTAGTTCCGTACTCTCGTCAGGCAGTACTGAGCGTAGTTCAGGAGACAATTCTCGTTTATCGCCTCGGGGCAATACACGGAGCCGTTCGACAAGATACTTTTACTCGTCCTCGTACAGATGCAGATTCAGACCGTACCGGTTGCCTCCGACACACGGGTTCCAATAAATAGCCAAAGCTTAGAGTAATTTGCAACTTACGTTTTAAACATATTTTATGATTTATGTTACGTTAAGTTTTTACGGTTATATATATATATATATATATATATTTATTTATTGATTGCTAAAGTAAAAAAAGAGCATCCGGATATTTTTTTACGTATGTGCGGAGTCGATCAAGAGTGTCATTCTGTGCGTATATTATTTTATTTCCACGTATAATGTATATCATTTTTAGCATACGATGCCTCGCTTTTGATGTTATCAAACAAGAATAGTCATAGAAAGAACACAGGAACCTTAACCATCCTTTTTAAGATTTTTAGATCACAAACCATAGAAAGTCTAGTGCAGAAGGTGGAAGTATCTCTATATCACAGTATGATTATTATTATTATTCGTAGACATAAAATTTCTTAAAAATAGCTTACAAGATCAATACACTTTCCTGATTTTTATATTTCCCCTAATTTTAAGTTTTTCTAAATTTGTATACCAGTATTGGTATCAATATTTTTTTTCTGATATCATGAATGATATCAATACTCTTGATTAGATACCTGGTTCAATATGAGTGTCGACATTTTCGTGGTATCACAATATCCCTGGTCGTTGTAACTCATGTATTCCGAATTAATGTCACTTGATATGAAAAATTTGCTGCGAATGTGAGATACGTGAGAACTTATGGGAATAAGTTTTTTGCGTTACGTAATAATTTAGTCATGATCAAATATAAGCGATTATGCAAGCACGTAATTTTGAATGAGCTTCTCTCGAGTTCCGGGATCCAATTATTTCTGGTAAGTTTTAACCGATCAGCGACGTGAGTTAAGTGCCTCTTTGGCTTCTCCGATGTATTCTATCATATTTTTAAGTCTCACTAATGAAGATTCATTTCTCAGTGAATAGAAAATTACTGATGAAACGTTATTGCAACAATACCCATTGGTGTACAACGTTTTAAAAATGTAGTTTTTTATGCTGTATCGATATCATTACAAATGACCTTGCTACTTTGATATTTCTAGAACTTTTTACAATATTCAACAAAATCATATTACTATTCAGCAGTATCTTTGGGATATTTTTAAAATATGAAGCAGAAATGCTTGAAAGATACAAGTAAAATCCATATTTCAAGGTAGAGAGACGCCCCGTAATGATAATAATATAATATACACAATCGATTTAATTACTTTGTTAATCTAAACCGTTAATTCCACCACCGTTAGTGTGTGAACCGACAAACCAAATGCCCCCTCGAGCGAGCCGGGGGGCGGTGTGATGGCGGATGGTGGAAACTAATCCGTGTTATCAAAGAGAGATGCACGCGTACCTGCTACGGCATCTCTGTGAATGAAAAATATAGTTAGTTACAAAGGAAAGCACGTCTAATTACGAATAAAAAATGTGAGGTTGAAATGAACCTGAACGGGAAGTGACTTTTTCTGCCTCCCCCTTCCTCTGCCCCAAAAGGTATCGTGTGCCCGTACACAGGAAAATATCATTCTGCTGCTAAAGAAAGTGATTATATAGTTTATTTTCCTTCTATTGAGTTACGATTATCTTCAGCAAAGAATATTTTCTTAATAACGTGCTAATTAAAATATATTTGAAGGCCTTTACATACTAACTATGACATTATTCTAGAAGTATCAAAATGATGATTAAAATTTCGAACTGAGTCATTTATCACATCAGTAGAGTGTTGTTTTGCTTTTGAATGCTTCTCTACTGATCATTTCGCAGGTTGTACTCGGATTTCTGAATTCCGATGCGCATACTGCGATTAATGGTTGTGCTTTAATCACCGTTTTCTAGACGAATTGCACGTGAATTGCCATAATTTTGCAATAAATTGCAATAAATTTTATCATTTTGATACTTTTGGAATAGTTCCTTGAAAGTAACTAAATCTTTAAAGTAATTAAAACATAATATAGAGTAATAGACAAAATACCAAATTTCTAAAATTCTAATAAATTCACAGATGTAAACTTTACTCTCAGCACTTATGAAAGCATTCTTTATTGATTGATACCAAAATTCATTTATTTGACTCTGGACTAAGGAGAACGGCTTCTTATCAATAAAATACTCCTAGACAGCACAATGTCCAAAATCGAATCATAAGACGTCTTTAAGACATCCTCAAAACATCTTTAAGACAAGTTTATAAAGTATTGTCTTAAAGATGTCCTAAAAACGTCTTATGATTCGATTTTGGACATTTGACTGTCCGGGACTCATTACTCTTAAAATATATTTATCATAAATTTAATAAAAGTTTATTGTCATGCACTCAAAAGAAGAATTCATTCTTTTGACAAGAATATTATAAAACTTTATTGAAGAAAAAGTTGATTCGACTATTAGAACTAAGAATGTGTTTTGAGTGAATTTGATGCTTATGAAATGAACGTATGAAAAATTTTGCGGATATACAAACTTTGGAAATACTTGAAACAAATCACCTTTGAATTATAATATGTCACTGAACGATAATAAAAGCCGACACCTCGCAACTTTACGACTTCTTCGCACGAAGTGCGAGAGCGGAACGAGCGCGAGAAAACGCGGATTCTCGCGCGAGCAGCGATGCGAGACTGCGGAACGAGTCATCATTGACGACACTAGGAAAGTAGCCTACCTGCTGCGGATGTTTATGTAGCTCGGAAAGAAATGCGGCTTGGCCAATAATCTTTTCGAGATGGCTTCGCCAAACCGACAACCATGTAATTTTAGACGTCTCGGCATTTGGATATCCAATGCTCGAGTGAAAAGCCATTTCGGTCTCGAGAGCACGATGAAACCTGAGAATAGATTTACGGTATGGATAAGAACGATAGAAGACGAGCTTCAGGAGGACGTCAAGCTTGGTGTGTACCGTCGAAAGACTCGAACTCGATATCTCCGGAAGCGATTAATCGATGTCGCACAAGCGGAGAAAATCTCATTAAACCCTGAAACAGAAATTGCAATCTGATGCATCATCAAAGGAAATAGAAAATAGAATAAAAAAATACTCAATTGAAAGCTGAAAGTGTATTGAGAGAAACGAATATGATAAAACGTTCAATAACCGGTATTCTTAGTTTTTGGCACTTTTACAGATTAAATTTGATCGGATATTAAGGCCTATTTAACACTGAAGTTAATAAATAATTAATAAATCTCCACGCACATATCTTAACCACTTCGCTTGTCAAGAAAATCAGCATCAACCGATCCAAAAATGGGAAGATCTAAATGCTGTTTGATTTTTATAAAAGTCAGTACTAAAGTACTTTTCGAGTCGCTGAATACAAATTTGAGATCAAAATTTGAATGTTCAAATTAATGTCAGATTCAAAATCAGCGACCCTAAAAACTTTCAAGTACCAAATTCCATACAAATCAAGTCACTTTTCGCCGCTTCTCACTTTGGTCCGCTATATTAAATCCGTCATCTTGAATATCGAAATTTGAAACTATGATTCGAAATCAGTGACCCTAAAAACCCCCGAGTACCGAGTTTCATTCAAATCAAGTCATTTTTCCATTTGGTTCGCCATATTGGATCCGCTATCTTGAATTTGACAAAACTAACCTCAGATTCGAAAGCAGCGACACCAAAAACTCTCAAATACCAAGTTTCATCATAATCAAGTCACCTTTCGCATCTTGATCTGCTATATTGAATCCACCATTTTAAATTTTCAAATTTATTGTTCAGATTCGAAATCAGCGATCCCAAAAACCCCTAGATACTGAGTTTTATGAAAATCTTGCTAACGGGAAAAAAAATAAAATGAAGTGCATATTAGTGCGTCAACGTCATTTTTATTACATCCTTTATTTGACGCAAAAGTGCGCGTCAATGCCAGCGAAGTGGTTAATATTTACTATAATAGCTGGCACTCTCGGTTTTTAGTACTTTTGCGGATTGGATTTTATAAGGCGATATGAGGATTAAAAAAAAGAATCACTAAATAAATAATGAATCTCCATGCACGTATCTTAATATTCAGTAAAACCTGCGCAAAAGTGCCGAGAAGTGGCAGGCGCCGCAATAAGTGCCGACGTTGGACGTTTATCTTGTTTTTATCCCACCCTATATGTACCGTTCCTCCCAGCATAAAAGCAAGCAGCTGATATGCGAAAACCGATATCTCACACATGTTTAGTGGTTGTAAGATCATTAACATTTGTTTTACGAGAAATCGTAGATAGGGTTTGCTCAAGCGGTACCGGCTAGGATATCCTAGTTCCAACTTTCCTTGTAACGAAACGAATTTCCTTGGTCGTATTGATCGTATTTCACGGAATCGCCATTCCTACATGTTGGTGCGGATCGAATGCTAAGGATTAAATCGTATCAGGAAGTGCAAACGTTTGAATTATTCGTAATCGCTGCGATATCAGAATTACGCGCTCGACAAAACTTTCCGCTGATTCACGCAACGCGGCATTTATGTGTTACGCAATAAGTAAATTAGGTGTTAGTTGCTAGTTGTTGCGCAAATTAATGCGCATAAAAATGCTCATAAGTATATTTATTTACATAGAAATAAGTTGATATGAAATTATTTCTTTCGTTACTGGTTGAAATAACTCGTTATAAAAATCATAAATTTTAAAAATTATATATAATTATTTTCTTTACCGCAGAATAACACGTTAATATTACTAAAACATTAACTTAAGATAGTAACTCCCTGGGAAAAAGAGGATACGGATTTTATCCATATATGGCTATATATATAATCATATAATAATTATACAGGGTGTTTTAGATCACCTTCATAATCTCTTGTGAGGACGTAGAACGGATTGAGATGAACACAAAAGTTCCATACCATTTTCCAATATTCGCAATAAATCTCAATATTAATTTAAAAAATTGATGAATAATCGCGTGCGATATGGTAAATGAGCTACAGTGGCGCCGTCTGCCGTCGTATACTTATATATTAAGTCAAACTGAATAAAAAAGTCCTACCATTTTGCAAATGATTACATAGATTTTTAGATATTTATTAAGGAAAATTTGTACATTATGATACACAATCATGTAACAATGCACTCTGCACTGCATGAGACATGAGGTGCCTCTGCAGTTCATGTCTCTGTTATAATGTTTCTAGGTTATGATAAACATCGCTGCCATCTTCAGCAACATAATTAGAAGCGTCTAGAACGTAATGTTGATGCAGTATTCAGGGTTGAGTAGTAACTTTAAAAAAAGTTAATAGTTAAGTTAGAAGTTAAAAAGTTAGTAATTTTTAACTCTACTTAATTAAATCTAGTGGCACATAGAAACACTTAAGCAGTAAGACGTAAGCAGTAAGGAAATTGACCAATCACAACCAATTATTCTCTTTACGGTCGAAAAATAATTAACTTTGATTGGTCAATTTGCTTAATATACCTTCATTATTTCACATAAATTTAAGCTAAATTTAAAAACGAATTATGAAATAAAAAAAAAAAATATATATATATATATATATATATATATATATATATATATATATATATATATAGTTTTAGATAATTAAGTTTTCTGTAAGTATAACTTCTAACTCTTTTTTTTAACTTTTAAACTGTTAACTGAGTTAGTATTTTATTTGAATAACTTTTAACGTAAACCTAATTATTTTATAGCGAACTAACTTTTAACTTAACTCAGTTAAAAACCAAAATTAACTTACTCAACCCTGGTAGTATTTTTGTACTATATATGTGGCCGGCTCGTAAATTTTGCAGATATTTTGGCACCTTTTAGAACGCTTTTGCTTCATTTACTCATTAGTAGAAGAGCAGAAATAACGAAGAAGAGCGAAGTGCTGTTGTACGTAGTGATAACCACTACCTCCTCCCTGCAGTCTTCTCCCTCTTTAATTAACTCTTTAATTAAATACGTGCAACGTCATTCGCCTTCGTATGTAGACATTCCCCCGAGATTATATTCCCCTAGCTTAACATTTTATATCGGAAAAACAAGATATAGAATTACATGGTATGCGGGTTTAATATAAAAAGAGTAATGACACTATATTAACTTTGATTTCATGAAACCATTTAACGCGATGATTTTAACGCGCTCTCACGAGACGCGACTGTTAGTCCGCCCCGTATTGTTCTCCGAAGCAATAACATCGCCAGATCTATTTCTTCTTCAGCGACTCGTAACTCTCATCCGTAAAGTTCACCGTCTCAACCCGCGGGGCGAATTTCCACCGCGAATTCGCTGAAAAAACTGAAGCGAAAGACAAAAGTGGCTGCTTACCCATGCCGATGCACAGGTCGTACGGCGATATGCAGAGGTAGTTGGCCAAACTCAAGAAGACGTACGCGATGATGAGGCAGATGACGTAGCACATGAGCATTTTGCCGTGAAGGTCCCTCAGCTCGGGAATGATGGCGTACATCAAGAAGGAGGCGATGAGAAACCGAATGGAAATGATCATGCCCAGCTTCTGGATTTTTGTGCTCTGCTGCTCGTCCGTTTGCACGGGCTTTATGTTCGGTGTGAGGCAGACGAGAATGCTGACTTTGTCGAGATTCATCCTCCAGTCAAAACAGTAGTCTCACGGCTGCAGGAGTCCCATCTGCAGAGAGTTCGCGAGAAGGTTGCCGTCCGCCTGAAGGGTAACATTCTCTTCACCGTTATTCTCGTTGAAAGCTAACAACTGATCGGAACAGAGCTTCCCGCCTCTATCAGAACAAAGTGCTCTCTCAGCTCGTCGATGTCTCGGGTCTCCTTGGCCAGTTGTTCCTTGGTCAGTCGCAAAGCCGGTGTTTTGGCGGCGGGCGAGCCGGTGGCAGCGGGATCTTCCCGCAGTATCTTTCCGCACAACGGTTTGTTGCCGAGATCTTTGCGGATGACCTTGTTGCTGCGGCAACATTTACTGATGTATTTTCTGTAACCTGCAAATGCAGCCATAAGTGAGATTGCTGTCGGTCTAGCGCAAGTCGGCGGGGTAAACCTCGCCGTCGTAGGTGAAGTCGCCATCGCCGTTTTCCAGGAGCACGCTGAGCGACACCGAGCATCGTGGATCGTCGCGCAGCGGTCCATCGGCGGCTGCAACGGCAGACACGACGGCGGTGATGGCGATTAAAGCGTCGTCTACAATATGCGGAGTAAGTTTGGAGTAAAAAGTAAGCCGTAAGAATTAACCAATCATAGACGATTATTTTTATAATAATCGACTACAATTGGCCAATTCTTACGACCTACTTCTTACTCCAAGCTTACTCCGCATATTGTAGACGACGTTTAATAGATCACACACGGCGAAGAGGACCGTTGAATTGAAAGCGGAGCGGACAAATGCGCCGAAGAGCGTAAACTATCAGCTGACTTCGACGATCACCCGCGACGGCTCCGCTCCGCCCGCATCTGCGTCGGCGGTTGCGCGGCGCCGCGACGCTTTCGTCGATTGCACGCCTCGCTCGCTCGCTCGTCGTGGATGACGTTTAAGAAGAACCTCGCTCTTCGCCACACTTTATCGGCATTTATGTAAACGACGACGGGGAGAGGCGATTGGCTTTTTTAGCGCCTCGAAATATGATCTCGATCGATCAATCGGAAGGAGAGGACGAAGGCTTGAGGGTTCTCAAGACTCGTCTACAAACTCGTGAAGTAAGCTGAGCGAATGAAGATTATACTGAGGAGAGTTCGGATAAAACGGATCAATTCTTTGGGAATTGGTTGCGTTAATTGCAATCGAATCAAATTAAATAAAAATTAGACCTGTTACACAAAACAACAATCTAAACTGAATGACTAGAACTTTTAACTAATAAATTTGGTCAAAAGTAAAAATGAGTAGAAACTGAAATTTAGTTATATGGATGCTACAAGTGTATTTTCAGCTAACAATAAAGATTGATCTAATTGTATGATATAAATAATTTCACCCAGAGGATGGAAGGTAAAGTAAGTCAGACGATAAGTACATTGAACTAATAATTGGACGTTTGCAAGATTTGTTTAGCTAGAAGAAATCATTGTAATAGGTTTCTTAAGATTGTCGAATAAGTTATAATATACAGAATTCGGTTACACGACTTAAGAGCCATCGACAGGTTGCGGTAGATATCTCGTTCGCTCGCAGAAAAATTCTCGTTGCAGAGAAATATAAATAGCAAATTAGACTTCCTCGCTTGAAGCCTAATGCGTCAGTAGGTATAATACCGGGGTTGTAACCAACGGTCCTCAGAAGGGGGTGCGGGGGAGAGAGGTACCAATAGCGCCGATGGATGACGTCACATGGGGTGGGGGTACTGAGGGCGCGGGGGATGACGTCACGCGAGAAAGGGGAAGTTACCAACAGTCGGTAATTTTTTACCGACATATTTTTTACTAATATTTTTACCGGCAAATTTATTAACATAATTTTTACCGACATATTTTTTAATATAATTTTTACCGACGTAATTTTCTTTATTGACATAATCGATCGTTTATTTTTACCGACATATTTTTTATCGACATATTTATTAATATAATTTTTACCGGCATATTTTTTAACATAATTTTTTTACCGACATAATTGATCACTTTTATCGATTCTGCGATCCACTCCTCTCCGCGTTTTGCACACGGTAGATTTTTAACGGCCTTTTCCCCTCTCCGGCTCGTGCCATCCGTCCGCGCTTCCGTATTATAGAATATCCTCGACTATTCCAAAAAGTTCGAGAGACATTTTGAGGAGGACAAATCTTTTTATGTAGTACAGTTAATCCCCTCCGAAATTATGCAGCCCCAATAAAAATTTATCTTTAAACATACACTATCGTATACTTTCGATCTATCGTGTACCTACGATATATCAGCGATATATCTATGAGATACGAAATTATCGCATATCTACCTACGTAGATTTTTTCAAAGATTGGGTGGAGGAAAAGAGGAAGTAAAAGAGAGAAGAGACATTAATATATTTTAAAAAATATTTATTTTGTTTAATAAAGATTTCCGGCAATTTTCTCCGGCACTGAGACCACCATTTGAATATTTTTAATACATTCTGTAAAGCGCAATGCTTAATATGATCATTAGATCGTAAAGTGTTGGTTGCATACAGTTTGCCCAAGAAAATTATGTCCTCGTAATCCGCGTCCAAGGTCTCGATGATCAGGTTACTTTTCACATTGTCATCCAGAAGATTCGTCAACCATTCTCGCTTTTCACATTCCTTTACGTATACGAGTCTGGGGGCAACGTCTTCATGTTCCATATCGAATGTTTTGCCAACCACAGCTGCCGTAATCAAATGCTTAGCTCTGTTGTATGCAACAATCCCGTTATCCCATCGTAGTCCATGACGATTAGCCACCAACCAGTATGCTCTCGATTTGTCGAATCTTGTTAGAAGATGCCATGGTATGGGACTAGTAAAGATATAATGGGAGAGAACAGATCCATTCCTAAGTATCGCTACTTCCTTTACAATAAATCTTTTCCCAACGACGAATCCTTGCAAGTCCACAAATGTTGGTACGACCATAATGATGTGCTCTTCGATACGTTCGGGATAAAAATGTCGTATATAGCTTTTTGATTTTTGTTATTATTCTTATCTCATATATATACTTTCCAGTGTTAGTTGATTTTGCGCACTAAGTTGGTTAGTCGACTGTATTCAACTACACGATCATGCAGGATCAAATAGTATACGGTTGTATTCACTGGTATATTCTCTCTACACTCAAATTCTATCACATCTACAATGGCACTCTTAACAGATTCGTTTCGACGCGAACAGTCGATAACCACGAAAGGACTATGTTTCAGAAAGTCGATAGTGTTAACCATACCTCAGCATTGTTGTATCCATAATACGATTTGCGGAAAGGACTATACATATCATAAAATATTGCATATCTGTTTCTTACAAAATCTAAATTTATGTCATCGTATAGATAACACTCTGAATTTAGATAGAGATTCAAATTGCAGTTGTCGAATTGAGTTATATTTTCCGACATGACATTTTTTTCGACTAGTCTGCAAGGCAAAGATAATATATCGCGGTTTTTCCAAATTAGTGGCTGGTTTGACGGTCCACAGATGTTTGGTCGTACTTTGGAGCAGAGGAAATTCATACAGATCCCATGAGCGGAAACTCATACTCAGATATCGATCATTCTCCAAAGTTCTCAGCAGGGCAAGTTTATTGATATCATTCAACATTACATGAGGCATTCGCTATTGTATTTTGAATATCTCGCTCTTAGGTTGCAACGCTGAAGATCCAAATAGACTGTTGTTGTCACTGCGAGACCGTAATAAAATTAATTCGTGACGCGCGTTAATTACTACACGTTTGTAGTCTTGATAGAATCCTAGCAGCATGCTAAGCAGTACGCAAATGTTGAAGTATCCATCTGCCGAAACAGCGTCAGTCGTATCCCACGCAGTATTCTTCATGATAGCATTTTTGTCTAAAGATAATGATACATAGTTTTTGAGCGTGGAAGTTATTCCCACATTTCTATTACGATCATTCTCGCAACGAAACATCAGGAATTTAAATAGGTTTGCCAAGTCGTCTTAATAAATCACAGATTTTCAAAGGTGAAATTAATTCGAATTATAAATTGCTTTCTCACACTTTCACGAGAGGCAATATTCTTCGATGCTCACCATACGCCAGCCATAAACCAACTCCAATTACGATATTAGATGCATCCAATACGACAGCAGCTTACTGAACGCTTAGTGAACTTTTACATCCGATTGGCATATTTCTTTAGATCTAAAAATATATACCAATCAGATGAAAGAGCTCAGTGAACGCTCAATGAGCGGTAGTACTGAATGCACTCATTCGTTTACAATTATGTAATGACTGTTTTCCAATGAATACTGTATCACACAAAGCTATTTTATTGGTTACTTGTTATCACAGAAGATATCTTTAATAATGTGTAGTAAATAAAATGGCTATATGTAATAAGTCTTCTACAATAGGCAATAAAGCCAAAATTCGATCGGATGCACTAGTGCGCCCTCTTTCTTCTGCTACTAAAGCCAGCGGAACACGATGCTTGTTTCGATGCTGGTTGCTTGCTGGATGAAAATATTCTGTTTTGGTTGGTGCATTTCCATCCATCTTTAGAAATGCACCAATCAGATATCTTCTCGCGATATCAACTTATTCACAAAGACCGACTTAGCACTTTCCGTGCAATCACACACTTTCGTTGATATTTTGTAATCAATTCTTTACTAACTATTGTTAAATCTGTAAAGCGATAAAAAATTGTCCTGTACTGTTTAACGTACAAGCGAGTGTTGTACTATTAGTGTTGTGCCGCCAGATACACTGTATAAAGTGAAAAATAAAAAGAGATCAACGTACAATAATACAAAATTTAACTTTGACTGCAAAATTACATTACGGCAATAACATATTATAGGCTACCGACCACGATGATTCTGCACCAAAGGAATTCTCTCCTCGCATTATACATTAGGAGAATTGGTCGAATTCTTGTCGGACGATTTCTTTGCGCGCCAGTTCTGTATGTAGGGGATGATCTTCTCCTGAAGTGTCACTCCCGTTGGGATGTTGCGCGGAGTACTTTTGCTGTTGCAACCA